CCCCTTTGCACAAGCAAGTGGCTATCAGGACTCAGTAGCTAAGTAGACAACGCGATGGTGTTTCAAGAGAACGGTACTGGGTTTGAGTCTCAGAGTGAACATCAACTCTGAGATGCAGATACATCCAGCTAACGAGTCCCAAATAGGACGAACGTTCGTCCTGAATTCCACTGATAGTCACTATCTATCTTTGCTTAAAAAGCTTGTGACTTAAGGCTATATCGAGGCAATTTGCACAGGATGCATATATACCAGCCAATATGAGTGCTAAATAACAATGGAAAGATACAAGTAAAACAATTTACTATACAAGATTCGTTTCTTTTTTTCTAATTGTATCAATACTTAGTTTATTTTGATCTTAACATTATTTATGAAGATCACCATCATTTTTATTTTTAGTGTTTAATTAAAATACTATGGGTAGCATCCTCAGTTTAAATTATTCTGTCATAGGAAACACTCATCAAGTAAATGAATAAAAAGGAGTTAGCTAGTACATAGATATTAAACAATGAGATATAGATAGGTTACAAATTCTTGCACAGATACCCTAGAGATAATTCTCCGTTACTACATGATCTGCAATGCTTTTTTAAAGAGTATCAACCATTGTATGATCAACAACGAAATTCGTTACAGTTTATTACATGGCAACCCAAATTTAATTTATCAAAATAACTGAAAACATTTAATCACTGTTTAAGAGTCTAAAATAGCATGATTAAGTAATTATTAATTGAGTTCATGAAAAGATTGATGTTAGACTACCACTGAAAACCTGAAAGCAATCGATGACCGTTTCATCCTCATATGGAACTCCTCAGCAGTGCGTATTCACGGTGTCGGCCTAATGGTTTAGAGGTTAAGTGTTCGTGCACGAGACACAACGTCCTGGATTTGAATCCCGCGTGCAAGGTCGTGGATGCGCACTGCTGAAAGGCTGCATACTAGAACAAAACAGTCTTCCTGTATCCCCCGATTTTCAATGAAAGACTAATATCAATCATTTCATGATCTCGATCAATAACGTAACAATGTCCACAACTCCATACTGATTATAAGTAATTAATAACACATTTTTATACTCTTAATTATAATAGAAACCCTAAGTTCAGATTACGCAACAATGAAATATCAAATGAAAAAACGTAATCATACGAATGATAAATAAAACAATGTAATATATAACATTACTAATAATAATGATGTTCTCATACAATTAAATAAATGTAAAAAGACATTATTTGTTAAACATCAAGGTTGGTCAAAATCACCAACGCTTTCCACTTTGATTCTCTGTCGAATTAGAAAAGAATGGCGTTTTTTGTGGAGATTATAGTAGTTTAAATAGTTGAATGCATGAGTTGATGTGACTGGCTCCAAGATGATTTTCTGGAGTTCTAATGAGAAGCTTTGACCAATGGAGTTCGAACCGTATCGGTTAGAGACATGTATCTACCCCAAAAAGTGAATGAATGGTTGAAAAGCCATTCATCAATCGACAGAATTTAGACATTAACATCGTTGGATACTGGCCCAGTGGTCTAGAATTCAAGCGTTCATGTGAGAAACCGAACGTCATGGGTTCAAATCCCGCGTAGTGTATCAATTAATGTATTTTCATTATTATCAGAAATTCGTGACAAAGAATGTACTTTTATAGATCATTATATTCTATTTTACTTCTTATACCTGTTGTGTGTTTCGTTGCGTTACGCAATAAAAGTATATTAAGAATATCCTAGAAGTATCACTAAAAGTGCTCTTAAGAGTAGTTGGATCGGGGCCAACAGTGGAATCTCGGACGTGTGTTTAGTTCTGCTTGAGACTCGTCATTTAAAAGTACTCGATACAGTCACATCGATGTTCACTCCGAGACTCAAACCTTGTAACTTTTGTTTTAAGTACTTAAGCAATATTCACTGAGTTACTAAGTACAGATGGTCAATGACTTGTGCAAAATGAACGAATTTTAATTCAATTATGACGGACTGAACTTTCTATTGTCAGTGTTTACTGTTGTTGTTGATGTATCGTTTTTTAGCATATATTCATCTTAAGTAGACTGTGACTAATAGCAACATCGAAGCAATTTGCTCAGGTTGTACATATACAAAATGAACTGATTAATCACTATCCCTAGCATTAACAACGAAAAATTTAAAACCTTTTTAGGTAAATTGTATTGTAGTGAACAAATCAGCTTTTAGCTGAAGAGGAAATTAGGAAAAGACGATGGAAATGTATGGGACATACATTACGCAAATCATCAAACTGTATCACGAGGTAAGCCTTAACTTGGAATCCTGAAGGGAAGGCGAAATGTGAAAGGCCAAAGAAAATATTACGTCGGGAAATAGTAGCGGGTATGAAAAAGATGAATAACAACTGTAAAGAACTAGAAAGGATTGCCCAGGACTGGGTTGGATGGAGAATGCTGGTGAGCGGTCTGTGCTCCTTCACGAGGAGTAGCAAGCGTAAGTAAATGTATATGTAGCTACAGGGTGGATGTAAGTAAATATTCTTTTTTTGTTTAAGTTTATGGGGGGGGTGGAAGAGGAGGATGGCTAATTTAATTACGTTGACAACATTTAATTGTATTTTCTGAAATAAATCACCCCCTTCCATTTATCTATAAATGATTAATTTATTTAATTAAACAATATAAAGAAATAAAAGAAATAAGCTATGTTCCAGTCTATATTTATATTTAATGGTGTTCCTCATTTAAATTTATAAGACATTGGACAATTTAAAGTATATTATTTGATAGTTACCATGCATAATACTAATATAAGCTTAGAAATTATTAGTTTTATACTTGTTTCCATGTGTCACATTTCCCTTCATTCAGTTGATATAAACATGTTCAATTGATAGAATGTTCGATGAGACTATAATTTATAAACGATCTTTGAGCGATGCTAAAGTGACTTTCACAGTGGAAACTTACTGATTAGAACTAAATGATGGTTACAAACCAGTTGGAACTCTGATTTACAATCAATGCTTAAGGTTAGAAATTAGATGGATTAATTATGCGCCAAAATTGGTTCGTCCATAAATTATAGTCTCGCCGAACACTTTGTTCTTACACAATCAATTGTTAATGACTTCTAATGTTTATATTATGAATTGAGCGAGATAATCGTTATTTAGATCATTCTGTAGGAATTTCGTTGTAAGCTGAATTGTTCTAGTGTGAAGGTTTCACTGAACAACATCAGCACAAACTTCAAATAGAAGTGAGATATTTGAATTTTTGCACATATGACTGACAGTTTATTTTGTCGAATTTTTGTTTAATTGGTCGTTAGTGGTCTTTAATCTGTTGGTATATGGATGCGCATTATTGAAGAGTTTCATAGTAGGATGAAACAGTCGTGCAAGGCTTCTTGGTTTTCATTAGAGATCTAACTTAAATTGGTTCATGATTTAAATGAAATTCAATAATACCCATAACTTCATATTGTTTTTCTTTTCATCTCCACCTTCGAATTGATTCTTGATCCCATACTTGCCCATAATGTTTCTAATTATTTGATAAATCGGATCGACTTCTATATGATTATTGATTTCTGATTGAGCTAGGTGTCAAGCTTTTAAAAATCTCTCTGTTGTTCTTAGTACTTTCTCTATTTAAAATTGCAAGATTTTCTTAGCTGAATGTGTGTCCCCATAGTTATTAATATGCATTGACAATCTACTGTGGGAGAGAACAAACCAGATACCAATGGAAAAAGAAATCAGGAAGGAGCACTGGAGGTGATTAGGACAAACATTGAGGGAAGCATCCATCTGCGTCACAAGGCAAGTCCTTACTTACATTCCTCAAGAGGAAGACCAAATATCACGTTACGACGAAGAATAGAGACAGACATTAGAAAAATGCAAAAAAATTGGATAGAACTAGAAAGGAAGGCATAGGACAGAGTGGATTGTAGAATGTTGATCAGTGGCCTATGCTCCACTGGGAGTAACAAGTGTAACTAAGTTAATAAGTGCGTAAGTAAGTAAAGAATGCCATTAATAGCCATTGCCTTGTCTAGCTGCGCCTTATTTGATTTGACTGTAAATTTGCCTCTTTATTTGCTCGTATATACCTACACACTCACCTCTTAGCTTCAAATTTGCTCGATGTGCTTATAACTTTGTTGTCCGCTTATAAACTGTAGCTGACACTTCTTATTGCAATGTGATTTCAAAAACTGTTGGGATTTATATATAATAACGGTTACAAAGGTGATGGGTTAATGTAGTAAAGGCATGTAGTGTTTGTTATTATGTTAAGCCCACATGCCTTTTTATAGCTTTCGGACAGTTCGATCTATTCATTCTACTTGAGTCACATTCCGACCTTGTTAATTATTCGCTGATCAATCTTCACTGTTTAAATATGAGCGCGTAGGTGTATGTACGCTTCTTATCCGACTACTCATCAGATGTCTGTAACTTATTTTTGTGTAACTATAATTATTGATTAACTTTTGGTTAAATGTGAGTTGGCTTACCCGCCATCTCCACTGCGTGTCGTTTCGCTTCTCTCTATTCCATTCTCTTCATTTACAAAATATATGTATTCAAAAGTCCATTCTGGTTATTTGACTTATTGAATTAAGTTATTGACTAACACGATTTAAGTAATTGGTTATAATACGACGATAGGCGATAACAAACATTCATATGATTTACTTGGAGTCAAAACTCGGGCCACTAAAGTGGAGAGCCCTTCAACAAACATCGAGCGATCTAAACAAACGACAAAATTAAGGGCCACACAGCCACTATAGTGTGACCCAGTGGGGTGTTTGGATGAACTAATGATTCCTTTGTACTTGTTGAATGCCTGATTTCGAATTCTAAATACATTACATTAGTTAGTCCTTGTGTAGTACTTCTTGATTCAATTGCGTTATTTCTGGGATTCTTAGTTAGTACTATAATTCAAATGCTCCTAATCATCATACCCAGTTTAGACAAACGAATAAAAGCTCATGTAATCAGTAATATAACAATTACATATAATAACAATGGAGTAGTAATAATAATAATGATAATCTTTTCTCTGTTACATATTTGATCTTGTTTCTGTTAAAGTAATCTGTTGAGTATCATCTTCATAATTTTTGTAGAAATTATTTACAACAGAATGATTAGTAAATGTATAATCAATATTTGGTAATTGTTGATCATCTTCAATTATATTCATCCATGTGTATACAGGTTCATTTCCATGAATCATATTGTATCCAACCTCTGTGAACAACAACAACAAAAATCAACAAAAGAATGAAAACTTACAATGTTTTAAATTAACTTGTAAATTAAGCATAGATAAATGATGATTAGATATGGAATCTGGGACGTGCGTTTCATCCTATTTGACACTCGTCATTTGAATGTACCTGCATCTCAAACTTCTTGATATTCACTCTGAGTATCGAAACTAGTACAGGTTTGTTTCAAAAGTCATCGTGTTATCCCTTTAACTATTGAACCCTGATAGTCATCTGCTCACACAAGCAGGACGAAACACTCATACTGGATTACACTGATATCCATCATCCATCTTTTTTTAAAGAGCTTGTGACTTAAGACAATATCGAGGTAGTCCGCATAGGATGCAAATATGCCAATAAACAACAATGAGAAGTTATAAGCAAACAATACCTAGTGAATTTATCTTCTCATTTGTCTTAATATAGTCATCATGCTATAAGGTTCTATAGAAAAGATGGAATGTGGCTAGCAGTAGAATCTTTAACACATCTTTCTTCCCATTTTAAACTTGTTTGTCGCTTGATGTACTTGACTTTCAGAGTTGATGCTCACTCTCCAACTCAAACCCAGTACTTTATACTTTGAACATTCAACTTTGTTATCGATATGGATAATGAGTCTAGATAGCTACTCACTTGTTCAGCCATTAAAAAACAGATTTACGTTCATAAATCTTGTACAAGTGGTAGCTTTCAGGACTCAGTAGCTAGGTGGATATATTCTTCTTAATATTCACTTCATAATTGTTATGGTACATTGATTTGAAAGGCGTTGGCCATGATAATGTAAATGGTACTTGGTTCAAACAATTTAATCTACCGAATGATTAGTTAGTGTAATTATCTAAGAAAGTCAAATACTCCCTAAATATCCACCATTACTCTATTTCCAAACATCAAGCATTCATTCACGACACATAATGAGTCCCGACGGTAGTAAAGCTGCTTCATGTCACCATCAAGTTTAGTTGACGGCCAGTCATTGGTGACGTAATTAATCGTTCTCTTAATGATAGAGTCCTTCCTGGCGGTAGTTTGTATCTCAGATGCTGAGACTGTCAAGGTACGAACAGCAGTTGTCAGGTAATAATGCGCGTGGTCTTCTGTCATAAGGGAGGCAATACCAGCATCTTCATCGGCCTTAGGGTGTTTGTCGATAAGTCGTGACCGGGCGTCTACCTGACCAAACTGTTGTGTGCGTCGATACTGAATGTCAAAATCATAACCCAAAAGTATCAAAGTTCATTGTTGGAGACGGTTTGCAGAGGGGGCTGGAACACCAGATTTTGAGCCGAAAATTGTAAGAAGAGGCTTGTGATCAGTGAGAATAGTAAATCTTCGACCGTGCAGGAATTTGTGGAAACGGAGTTCTACAAACAAAAGGGTGAGAGTCTCTTTCTCTATTTGGCTGTACTTCATTTCTGCTGGAGTTAATGTGCGAAACGCATGCATGACAGCATTCTCCGTTGCGTCCGGGAAATGGTGTGAAATGACAGCACCGAGTCGAAAAGCTGAAGCGTCTGCAGCCACAATCATTGTCATGGATGGTTTCTTGTTCGTCATTAATAGTTCAGAGGTAATGATTGTTTTCAGCTTGCAAAAGGCAGATTCACACTCTTTTGCCCAGCTCCAACTATTATTCTTATTCAGAAGATAATTTAGTGGAGCGTGTATGTCGTTCATCGACGGAACGAAAACTGAATAATAAGTGACTAATCCCCGAAATGATCGGAAATCAGAGACATTGGCAGAAGTGGGCATCACTTTTATAGCTCGGATGTTGTCAGGGTCTGGTCTGCGACCTACAACATCAAAGAAGAACGTTAACACGAATAGCATAGCCTCAAACTTCACAGTGAAGAAGTTCAAAGCTTATAAAAATAAATTTCAGAAACATTTCTATTCATCATTTACATCTTGGTCATAACATAGATCAATCAAGTCATGTTGTCTGCTACTAATCACTTAAAATTAATAACCATATACTGTTTACAATAAGTCGATTAAACTTGTTTTTATATTACAGACAGATTGATAAAAGTTACTCTTCACTACTTAGTTAGTAACAAATTATTATCGATTTGATTATAAAAACACTACTTAGTAATTGGACCTAGAGTTCCTTATACTTATTAATAGAATCTTATTTTATATATAACAGACATTAGAAAGTTACACTACAATATAGGATCATGAATACAATATATACACTAGTAATGGCTATATTTAAGGTATTTGTTTCTTTCAATAGTTGAGATCCCTCGAGGCTGAGTTGTGAATGCGCACTGTTGAGGTGTCCCACAATAAGACGAAACGACCGTCGAGTGCCTCCAGGTTTTCCATGGTGTTTTAGCATCCATTGACTCATGATCTCAACTATTGAAATTACTACAATCTTCACAAAACCTCTTCTAATACTAGTATTTGTTTCTCTTACATGAAAACGTTTTAGCGAATAAATGGCTGTATAACTTATTTCATTCAACTTGTATTATCGGTTGCTATGTTAAGCCTATATTAATTTAATCTAGCTTCCGGACATGCCAGTTTTTTCAGTGTTCTTGAGTTACATTTAGACCTTGTTAATTATTTGCTTGTCAATGTTGACTATATTTATGTAGGCGTATATGTGTGCATTTCTTATCCCATTCATCACATATCTGTAACTTATTTTTGTTTGACCATAAGTAATAATTAACGCTTGGTTAAAACAAGTTGGCTTACATGCCTTCTCCAATCGGTTTCGTTTTGCTCTCACCTTTTCACTACCTTCACTCTATTTCTCTGATTATCAGTTCTGATCAAATAGACGTATTCAATACTTCACTAATAGTGACTGACTTATTCCATTCCGTTATTCACCAATACGATTTAAGTTGATGATTATATAATATTAGGATTGATGTTATGTATAATTTGATAACATGCAGCAAACGATCTAACTGTAGTTAGATCTTCGTGGCACTAAAAATTCATTTACTGTTTAAATTCGTTCACAATAAACAACACGTGTAGATAGTGTTACCATATGCTATGGAAACGAGTTTGTTATTGACTGACCAAGTGTAATAATTTCATAATATGAGGCTGAGTGATACTGGTTTGAACCTCACAAAAAAGGGCTCTTAATATCTTAAGATTACATGTATCCCATGGTGACAAGTCCAAACGGGTAAGAAGCCTATGTCTAAAGTATTTTTGCAACTATCTTCAATTAGCTAATGTACTCATTTAGTCTAATGAAAATCTTCACTTTCATAATATACTGTTTTTGGAATAATCTATCAATTGAAATACACGTAAACCTACATTGAATGATCAATTCAATGAAAACTTTGGCAAATGTTCAACACACTACTAAATACATAGTATACGGGTAATAACTATATTTATTACCGAATACTCGCGAGGTGTGATCGTGGATGCGTACTGCTTATGAGTTCCACAATAAAACGAAACGGCCGTTTAGTGCTTTGAGGTTTTCCATGGTGCTCTAGCTTCAATTGGCTGATGATCTCAACTACTGTATAGTTATTTACGAGTTACATCATTAGTTTCAAATATAAGCTCATAACTTTTATAGTTTATCTTCATAGGTTGTTAAAGATTTTATAAGTAGCATATTCAACAAATTAAACAATTATCGGAAAACATTATGTTTCACTACACTATTCACATCCTTCAATCGAACATTTTAAAACATACTGGATAATAATATGTTGATATGTTTGATAGTAAATAAAGAATGTTATAGATTTAAAATACTTTAAATGTTAAACCTTCTAGAGAACCTTCAATCACACTGCCCCAAAATGCCCTGATAAGGCCGAGAGTGGGGAGAGTCATCTCTCCCTCTCGAAATGCTCTCACATGACCGCGCGTATATAGTCTCTGCAAAGGGAAGTCCTACTCACTGCCTTCTCGTGGCATTACTGTTGTTTACAAAATTGAGAGAACGAAAAGTGAATGTCCAGCGCTTTAACCGGGTTGACGAACATGGAGAGTACATCTAGGGGAGTTGGAAAACCCTCATTCCAAAGCAATGGTGCACATGGGCTCCAATATCCTGAAGGAACAAATGGCGTATGAACCAATCGTTGGTCACCGGCTACCATGGGACTGCATCTCCTTACGATGCCCCACTGCCTTGTGGATCAGACCTTCAGGTCGAAGGCTCCTGATGTGGCCTCCTAAGAAAACCACCTGCTTCGGTTTGGGCACCCGGGCAGTATCACAGCCCTCATACAAATCAAGTGACTTGTGTGGAGCACATTAATTTGGTGTCTTCTTGTACCAATATCTATGTGTTAAAATAAATAAATAAATTTGTTTGAATAGGTAATTATTGATGTTGAATTATATTTACACGATTTATTACTGAATTCTACCTGGAAGATGACAGGGAGTTCCATATAATGTAAAACACCAGAGATAAATACTCTATTATGTCAATGCACCTACACACTCACCAGTAATTATTAATACATTTAAGGCTCGTAGTTGAACCAAGATAAAAAAAGGAACCATGGAGTAGCTGACAAAACCATCCACTAATAACTTTCAGAAACCTTTAGATCAATTGAAGTATGTATAAGACTTTTATATTATCTCAGATATGACAAAAGACAGAACAATAAGAAAATGAAGTAAAGATGAAAGTTGACTTGATTCTGTGAAACAAAATGTAATATTTATGTCACACTAGGATATATGCTACTTATATCTATAGACATGAGTAGTATGTAATACCAATTAGAAGTGAAATGACTGGCAGTACACAGCTGAGAAGATTGAATTGAAGAGAATGGAAATATAAAAACAAAGAGTAATTGTAAGAGCAATGAATAAACGATGAAGTATGAGACAATTGATGAGAGATTTGCAAATGATGCATTTAAAGTATGGTTTTCAGTTTTTATGAAAGAACTTTGCAATAGTGTGTTATATAATAGATTCAATGTCTCCAGTTGAGTTCTTTTTCACTACAAAATGAATAAGTGCAATATTAGTTCATTATAAAAACCAATATTCTTGGATGTTTGCCTTAAATTAGTTCTCTATCTAAAGTATATTCATTTATGATTATCATGTCTATATGAGTATATGAGCTTGGTTACATGTAACAGCCTAAGGATATATCCCTTTTTCTAGTTTAATATTAGTCGCTTAGTAATTCATTCACTTTCCTTATATATATGTGCTTGAATCTTATCGATGTATTCATCTCTTTATTTGCTCTTATTCAGAAGCTGGTATTCGATGACATTCACTGACGTTCCCATATCTCTACTTATTAGTTTTGTCCACTTGTGGCATTGTGGTCTATGCTGTACAATAGTATGTTGTAGATAACGTTTCCTACTATCTTTTGACGTTTACTAACCATTAAGAGTTATCGGTTAACAGTTATCAGGACAAGTGATAGGTTTAAATTGCTTACACAAAACAATTTGGTTAGGAGTTACTTTGTAAACACAAGTGTGTAAATAAACTTACATGCTTGAATAAAATATTGTAAACATATAACTTACAAAAAAGAATATTCCACAATATTCATAGTGACAAAAGTCCAAATGGCTAGAAACAAATGATTACATAACAAGTAAATGGTGATTTTAAGTAAGAATGAAGTGAACAGAGCTCATTTAACTTTAGTTTCGCATGCTGGATTGTATATGAACACTGCTGAATAGTCACATACTAGTACTTCCAAGTTTTTAATGGTGGTCTAGTTAAGATCAATTCATGGTTTCAATTGTGAAAATAATACAATCTCGAGAAATCCCTATTCTGACAATAATCATCATGTGTTCATTAAGGAATGGTTTTGAGATGAATTTATTAAAGCTCTAATAAGAAGCCATGACACGTGGAGTCGAATTCTTGTCGGGTATAAGACATCTATCTACCTCAGACAATGTATGAAGTGCTGTACATGATCTAGGATTGATTCATGTAAGAAAATGACACCGTTGAATGCTAACTCAATGGTCTGGAGATTGAGTATTTGCGCACTAAACATAAGGATCTATGTTGTAGTCCATTTGCTGCAGCACCATGTGTGCGGATTGTTAAGAAGTTCCATGTGAAGACAAAACGGCCGTCCAGTACATCCAGTTTTTCAATGATGATCTAGATTAGATCAACTCATGAACCCGACTGTGAAATTATTCATTTGTTAGGGGATCAATAATTACTTACACCTGTAACTCCCAATGAAGTATAAACCGTTGACCAGCATTCTACATTCACTCTGTCCTACGCCTTTCATTCTAGTTCTATTCAATTGTTGTTTATTCTTCTCATATCTGTATCCATTTCTCGGTGTAATGTGTTCTTTGGTCTTCCTCTCCTAATTTGGCCTTGAAGATTCCAGTTGACAGCATGCTTTGTGATACAGTTGGGTGCATTCCTCAATGTGTGTCCTATCCGCTTTCAGCGCTTATTCCACATTTCTTCCTCCACTGGAATCTGGTTTGTTATCTCCCGTAGTTGGTTGTTGATGATAGTGTTTGGTCAACTTATATCTTCTGGATGATGGATTACGCAGTTCACCAAGTTTCCAACTCATATTGTAAAAGTATCTTGACATTTGTATTGAAAATTCTGATTTTGGTGTTGGTTGACAAAAAGTTGTTTTGAGTTCCAGATGTTCTTTGATTGTAGATATGCTGCTCTCAGTTTGTTGATCCACGCCTTCACATCTACATCTGATCCACAGTGTTCATCAATGATGCTCCTTAGATATGTGAAGGTTTGTACATCTCTCAAATCTTTTCCGTCAAGTGTGATTTAATTAGTGCATGATGTGTTGCATCGGAGAATCTTACTTTTCCCTTTGTGTATGTTGAAACCTACAGCTGCAGAAGCTCTTGCTACACTGGTCTGCTTCTCCTGTATTTGTTGTTGCTTATATGTAATAGAATAACTAGATCATCTACAAAGTCTAGAACGTCTAGCTGAATTCTAGCTGTATCCCATGTTTTCCTAACACCCCCCCCCAACCCCTAGATGTTAATATCATCATAATCCAATCGAACACAACAAAATAAATCAATAATAATCCAATAATAAAGTTCATTCAATAGAAATCAATAATCTATCAATAATTATTTCTAATCAAATACAATTATAATACATAAAAGAAACTTACGTGAATTAGTTGAATTTCTTATATTATCATTATATAATACATTTGTATAATATAGATTTGTTGTTATAGGAAGACAATTATTTAATGGAATAATATCATTTGAATGATAATGATGATTTATTTCATTATGACTATATATACTATTTCTACTTATATTTATACTACTATTACTGTTATTACTATTATTATTATTATTATTACTACTACTGTTATGATTACTACTACTATTCATTGGTTTAAGTAGTATCTCTTCATTATAATTTGATGTTAAACATAATAATTGATTTTGTTCATCCATAATGATATTTACATTAGATTTATATTTATTAATTAATTTTGATTTAAATTTAATACGATAAATAATAATCATAATAATAATAATTATTATTATAAATATAATTACTATGGTGATAAGTATCATAGGTAATAATAAATGTTTATTTGTTTTAATGAATTCATTGTTACCAAGGGAAAATTTAAAAAAATGATTGGTATTTTGTTCTGGTAAATTATATACATTATGATTATAAAGGTCAATAGATGTGGATGAATTCACAGGAGAATGTACAGATGAACTTGATGATAATGAGGATGATGATAATGATGATGATGACGATGTTGAATAGGAAGAAGACATAGATATAGGATTATATGATGATATAGAATCAGGTAAATCATTTATTGGTCTTTGATGAAGTTCCATTGGTAATATATTAAGTAATATGATACATGTTTTATTAAATAATTCAGGTTGACTATAATCTTGTATATCTATGTGTAAAATATATCTAAAAAAGAAAAAAAAAGAATCTTTATGATCATTTAAGGGACAGTAATCGATTCATGATCTTAATTTTAAAAAAAACTTAATAATCTCTATGATCCTAATACTCCCTAGTGACTAGCTTCGTGAGAGAATTCTCGGAGTTCTAATAAGAAGTCGTAGACAGTGGAGTTAATCTGTGTCGGGTAGAGACAGGTATCTACGTCAGTACAATGGAAGGTGGTTGCGCGATTTCATGGATTGGTTGAGCTTAGACATTAACACCACTGGATGCCGGTTCAGTGGTCTAGAGTTCAAGAGTTCGTGGGTGAAACCCAAGGTCATCGGTTCGAATCCTACATGCGAGATCGTGGATGTCAGTTGTTAAGGCGTTCCACACAACGACGAAACAGCCGTCCAGTTATTCAATAGTGGTTGAACATCAATCGATTAATGATCTCAATCAAAAACAAGAAAAGAAACTAGTCAAATAGACTAACGCATTTTAGTACTTTTGCAGAAATAAAATGTATTTTTCACTCAAACAATTCATTCATATAATAATGATTTTTTACAGGTCAAGCAACACAGCAATATGGACGATTCTCCCGGTCTCCCACATTGTACGAGCATTCCATGTACCTTAATTAATGATTGCTTTGGTTGTTATAAGTTGCATCAGCCTCGTGAATTCCGAAGGAACTCAGCTTTCACCTTGAGGCGTCACAACTATTCTAACTACAAGAGTTCAAATGATTTGAAATATTTGTCCTTCTGGTTAGCGCTTTTTTAGCGAGTTAGTTTTCTATGGGATGAAGTCGCTAACCCCATGCCCAACCTTCCTCCTTTATCCGGGCTTGAGGCCGGCAGTAGCCCCAGAGGGCTCTAGACGGAGTTTTGGACAGGCCAAAGTAAGTAAGTAATGAAATCGATATTTTAAATTCATATATGTTTTTCAGTATGTATGCCTAGTAACTATAATAAAATTTCAATTTTAAGATTAAACTTATATTGATTGATATGTCACTAGTCTCTGTGTAATCACATTACGTGGATGCGCACTGCTGAGGAGTCCCATACTAAGACGAAAAAGCAGTCCAGTGCTTCCAGGTTTTTCATGGCGATCTAGCTTCAATTGACTCATGAATTCAACTAGTAAAATTTCTGAAAATCTCCATAAAACCCTTTTTGATAATAATCATCTGCTCACTAGTGAATGACTTCAAGAGGCATTTCCTGGAGTTCTAGTGAGAAGCCGTGACCAGTGGACTTCAACCAGGTCTGTTGTAAGATATCAACTCACTGAAGACAATGGTGTACGGTGGTGAAATTTCGTGGATTGGTTGAAGTTAGACATGAACACCATTGGATACTGGCCGGCTCAGTGATCTGAGGGTTAAGCGATTGCACTCGAGACTGATAGGTCCTGGGTTGGAATCTCGCTGGGGTCGTGATCGTGGATGCGCATTGTTGAGGAATCCTGTACTAGAACGGAACGACCGTTTAGTGCTTCAAGGATTTTCATGGGGGTCTAACTTCAATTGACTCATGATTTCAACTAGTGAAATATCTCATAATAACTTTATTTAATAAATAATCAAAAATAACATGGATTTCTATCAATTTATAGTTGTTTTCTAAAATCTATGTTAATTTAGTTGTCATTCCAAAAACAAAAGGTGAAACAAAACAGGAACTTAGTATTTGGAATGTAATTACACATTGCAAAGCACTTTATTCAAAGACGGAAATGTCTATTATGAATACAAATTTGTATTCTTATCAGTGTAACATCAAATAACAACCAGGTATATATATGTATACCTATTTCCCTATTAATAATATTTATAATGGACTACCTATTACCAACTAAATGATTATATCTAAACGTTATGAATCTAGATTTGAATTTGTAGTCAACAGAAGAAGTGATCATAATGTTTAACTTATTTATCAGATTTACATTTACATTAACATAATCAATGACCAATATCATGTTTATCTAATCGTTTGTGATGTTGAATAGATTCTATGATTAATAACTATAGTTGGAATACTAGTCTAAGTGATTAGATAGTGGTTACACTAAATTGGAACATTAGCTGATTGGTAATAAATAGCTAGAAATTTAGTACCTAGGTGGGTATGACTATAATTTATAAACGAACCAATCAGATCTACGATAACAGATCTTGAGTTTTGATGCGAAATTCATTCATCTGTTTGGCTAGATAGTGTTTCGGCATTTTAGCTGATGTCAGTTAGAGATAAAAACCTTAAATCTAATCCGCATCCCTAACCATCAAGTGTAAATCACAATTATTATTCTTCATATAAGTTTAAAACCCACATTTAGCCTGTAGTCATTAGATGGACATTCTCGAGGTCACTTTATGGTCGCTCAAAGGTTGTCCATAAATTATAGTCTCACCCCTAGGTGTAACGGGAAAAAAACGCTAAAAATCCCTTTACATCATTTCGTTAGATTGTATCGTCATTTATTTGTTCTTTCTCCCTGTCTTTTATTTGAACCTTTATTCACGTCTGTTTAGTCTTCTTCGTCTGAGCTTTTGTTACATAACTTTGGTTGAAGACTTACCATTTGTTAACTAATGTTACTTCTGCATTTTGCTTGACTTTTGACGATACGGTCGAGTTTGACTAAATTTAAGGTCACAGCGTAGTTCAGTGTAGGACTGTTTGTTTCTGACTATCGGCTTGGAAAGGTGACCGGAATTTTTGCAGATAGACATCTGATCCCATCTTGTTGGGAATATTTTTATTGATTCTTAGGTATCAAAGTATTGCTTATTAGTTGTTCTTTTTGTCGTTTAGCAGATTAGTTTGTGTTAGAGAAATCGTTGATTGTATAGCACAAGCTGACGCGCTTGAGGTATTTTGTACTTTTGATATAATTTAATCTCTTTATGAAATTAGAGCCGTTTAAACTGAACACATGGTTTGTCACAATTGATTGATCTCTGGGTGGTGATCTCAATCCTACAGGAGGTCGGTCGCGGCCCGGACAACTCAGTGGTAACATGTCTGACTATGAAGCTGGGTGACACGGGATCGAGTTCGTCAGGGAGAACCAGTTCCCTCAAGATTACATGTACGCCTTGCTGACGAGTGCCAAGTAGCACGAAATCCGGGTCCAGGGTTTCCTGTCGACTACCTCCAACCACCATCTAATCACACATGGTTTGTGTTTTGATATAATTTGATAAGAGCCACAAAAAAATACTTCATACGCTATACAAACGAAAGTATTCTGGTCAGAACGTTAGTTGTGTGTTCAAACTGAATATTGACATTTCGGTCATTGCACTAGTTTTTAAATTATTTTCATAATGGAGATTTGTGGAGGTTGTATTAAATTTAACAGTTGAACTCATTAATCGATCTAAGCTAGACCATCATTGAAAATCTGGAAGTACTGAACGGCCGTTATTTGTCGATCGTCAACTGGACGTATCTACAATCTTAAGAGCATTGTTGCAAATTGGTCAATAGAAATCAACCAATAACTATTATAATGCAACAAGAACTTATTGTTAAATTAACAAACTGTATTTGTTGCCTAAAAATTGTAATTTACAATTGATTGATCACTGTGTTGTGATCAATGTCATGTGTGTGCGTCAGATCCTTCTTAGTACAGATCGAATCCCATCGACCAAGTTGCAATGTGGCCACTAGTCTAGATGTCTCTAAATTGAGCACTATAGGTTGAGAGGTAGACAACAGGAAACTCTAGATCCAGGTTTTGTGCTAGCTGGCACTCGTCAGTAAGGTGTATCATTTGTTGTCTACCTCTAATAACATGAATGACATAATAAATTAACACATCATTTATTCATTATGATTCAAATGATATAAACCTGGCTTCTCTACAGTTAAGTAGTATCGTAGTGAAAAAAGCACGTTTAGGTGACAATGGAACGCATTAGGCAACCCATTACAGAACTAGTCAGTAAAATCTAACAACCATATAGTAAATGTTCAATTTGCAAAATGTCCATCAATTGTTTCAAATGACTCAGATTTTTTTTGTTCATACATTTTCATACAAATTGCATTCTGTTTTCATTCTTTACTGTTTGGTTTTCTTGTCTCTCTGCTGTCAGACATTCTGTTCATAACTAACATCATATACTACTTATATCTACATAAGTAGCACACACCACAATATTACTAACATTCATATAAGAAATTTTATTCACAAATAAATAAACTCATATTTACATGATTAAGGATATATATATATATATATATATATATATATATATATATATATATATATATATATATATATATATATATAACAACATATCACAATGATAACTTACTCGCCTACATCCATCAACAATAATTGTCTATTAACACTTAATATTCCAGTATATGGATTTAATGTAAGAAATGGTTTATCATTCCATAGTTTTAGATGATCTTTAATTTCTTTTTCAACATCACTGCTACTACTACTACTACTATCAATCAAATGTAATTTAGGTAGTAACCAAATATGACGTAATATATAAATCAATTTGTTTCTATGTTGCATAATATGTCCTTGATTTAATTTAATAATTACATCATCTTTTAAAACTTTATATGATATTGATAAATTTGTTATACAATATGGGGATTTTAAACCTATTTTATTGAATATTGTATTGAATGGTTCATATATTGATTTTATTAAATAAAATGATTCGGGAATATATTGATTATATTGATGATATTGATGATATTGATTTTTAATATAAAGAATAATTTTAATTGATTTTAATGAATTTTTTTTAGAAAATTTCTTTATTATGAAACTAGGTGTTATCATGAGAATATATTGATTTTTTAATTTATGTTGAATGAAATGATTAATATTGATTGTATAACCATTACATAATAGATCGGATCGATAATTCATATTATTATTACATAAAAATTTGATCGGTTTTAAAATAAAATCTTTTGATACTTGTTCATCAATTATCATTGATGAATCAATTTCTTTTAATGTTAATTCACAATTATGATCTGGATCATTGTGAATATCAATGGATGATGAATAATTTATACAATAAATTATAATATTTGATAATATTGAATTCCCTGAATGAATTGAATCTGTTATATAGAATTCATATGTATCATTTGTATATGTCTTTATGTATGAATTAGAATAATTCATTTGTAAATAAATTATTGTTTGATCGTGATCAGGATGATCGTGATCAGGATGATCTTGATCATTATGATCATAATCCTTGATTAGATCATTAGAATAATCATTAAAATTCAAGGTTAAATTAATCAATATTTGTATTTTATAATTAAGATCTTTTGAATAATCATATAATGTACCAATTTTTGATGCTTGTATAATTAATTGTTTTGTAATTGTGTTTCTATATTGATTTAATTCTTTAATTAAACTTACTATACCGGTTGTTGAATCAATAGTAAAATAATGATCTAGAAAATAAATTCAAAAAATATATATATTCAATTATTAATTTAATTAAAAGCTTCATTGGTTGAAATCACGAATCGATTAATGTTAGACGACCATGGAAAAGCTGAAAGCAGTGGACGACCTTTTCGTCCTAGTATGTGACTCCTTAGCAGTGCATATTCACGATCCCGCCGTCCACCCTCGCAAGATTCGAATCCAGGACTTATCAGTCTCGCACGCGAGCTCTTAACCATTAGACTACAGAGCTGGTATCTAACGATGTTAATGTCTAACTTCAACCCATCCATGAAGTTGCACCATGATTTCAACCAGTGGAATTTGTAAAATATTCACAAAACCCCTTCTGATAATTAAAAGTATTAGACGACCATTTCGTCCTAGTATTGAATTCTTTAGTAGTATACACCAAAGATCCTATTCATAGGAATCAAACCCAAGGCTATCGATTTAGTGTATAAATGATTAAGTTGTAGAAAATTGAGCCAGTATTTGAAGATCTTAGGTTTGAAGCCTGTGAATAGGATCTTCAATGCACATTGATGAAAAGTTTCATATTAGAATGAAGTGGCTGTTCAAAGCTTTTAAACTTTTTCATGGTGGTCTACATTTAATTGACGTATGAATTCAACTATTAAATTACTTAGAATCTCTACAAAACCCATTTTTGATAAATCTATTGTGTTAAATGTTATAAAATATATCAGTGGACATTTGTCTATTCATATTCACATTTAGTCATACTTTATAAGTATCGTGTTATAGAGATGCTTGAATTTCATTTAAAATATGAACCTGGAAGTACTGGATAGCCTCTTCTTCCTATTATGGGATTCACCAGTGGAAATTGCACTCTCGCGATACCTCAGCCGATATTCGAACCCAGGGTCTCCAGTCTTACATACTTATATCTAGCCTTATAAGTTGAGTAAGTGTAAGTTATGATTCTGTTATATAATAAATTGATTGATGTAGTACATTTTAACTGTACAATACATACTAAGTGATCTAAAAGTATCATTATTTAATTCGCTTGATATTATTTTACTTGAATCTTCCCATTAATGTTTAGGACTGCGACTGATCAGTCTCTTATTGGCATATGTGCATACTGTGCGTATTGCCTTAATTTACAAGCATTATAAGCAAAGATGAATAGTGGCTAGCAGTGGAATCCAGAACGCGCTTTTCGTCCTATTTGGGACTCGTCAGTTGGATGTACCTGCATCTCAGAGTTGATGTTCACTCTGGGACTCGAACCCTGTACCGTCCGCTTCAAACGTCATCGCGTTATCATTCTTTGCTTTAGGCTTAAAACGTCATTGTTTAATGTTGTATGAAACGATGATTATGTAATGATAAACTGCTAGATTTTCTATTTCTTTAATCTCTATGATATGAATAGTATACAGATTGCACAATGATTCATATTGAATGATATAATACTTAATCCCTCTAAATTTCAAACTCTTAATATGAGCTTAAAACATGATAATAGGATTTAACAGATACTAAAGCCTTAGCAACTACTTTGATATTATTGATTCTATAAAATTAATCTAAAGGGGTTTTTAAATTTTGTACAATTTTCCTTAGTTATTCAAATCATCAAGTGATTTCAGATAAATCTCTATCAAAAAAAAAAAAAAACAAAAATGAAACAGATATCCAATGTGTATTAGCTTTCAACAATAGTCTATAGTGACATTTATCTCACGATCCTTATTTCATTTAATGTTTGTAAAGTTTCATGTGTTTTGTATTGATACTGAATAACTATTTCATTTCAATTGCCATAGAAACAAATTTTTGTTTATTGCATTACCATAAGTTTTGTATATTCGTCTATATTACCAATCCTTATCATTAAAAGCCAGATCTTTAAGATACAGTGTTGATGAAGAATATTTAAGTAACACCTTTTCTTTCTAAAATCTTTCAGAGAATGAGCAGACTTTACTAAATACAGGACATTAATTATATTCAGAACATTTCACTTATTGATTATCTGACAATGAAAGTCAACTGATGCTCGGCGAGGCTATAATTTATGGACGAGTCAATCAGAAGTGTTTCAGGGATCTCAAAGTTAAGGTGCTAATTTCGGTACCTGATACTCACGTACGATCGGTTCATAGAGGATTTTTTAGAGAAAACGTGATAATTGAAAGGCTAAAACTGCTAAGAAGTTCCTGTATTTGTAATTGTAGTAATCAAATAACTTGGTGGAACAAATCGATTAGAATAGGAACTTTTTCTCTCGATCCAGACTGAGACTAAAGGAAATCATAATCATTTATTCAAACTGCATAATAAAAGCAACATTTGCAGATATTACTGGGACTTCAGCTGTTAATTTGTATGAGTATTGCAAAGATAATATGCGCAATAAAAACAACAAGCTTACTCAACTGGAGTGCACACAACCAATATTGAAACTATGTGATCGAGGCTGAAAGAGTTTTTGCGACCTTATCATGGCTCCAAAGACCTACTATTATGGAGCCATATAGATTATTTCCTGTACTGCATGCATTACAATTTTAGAACCTCTGAACCTCTTTCTAACCTTGACAAGTTTTTGAACCATGTAAAAGAAATATATCCACTGTAATTCTTTGGCTTGGTATAATATATTTTTACTCTATACTGACTGTTTGCTGATTGGCTAATATTTATCAGCATCATCTGAAATTCATTCAAAGATCGTCCATCAATGTCAACGTAGAAATTTCTTTATTGCAAATGAGAATTTACATATTATACCAAATATATTTCATTTTTGTATTAGTCGCTTGATTCCTCCCATTGATGTTTAGAACTACAATTGATTAGTCTCTTATTAGCATATGTGCATCCTATCAAGGTTGCCTCGATACTACCTTAAGTCATATGCATTAAAAGCAAAGATGAATAGTGGTTAGCAGTGGAACCCAGTTAGACGCTTGTTACATACTATTTGAGACACGTCAGCTGGATGTACTTACATCACAGAGTTGGTGTACACTCTGGGACTCGAACCCAGTACCGCTCACTTCAGACACCATCTGTTATAATTTTTTTGACTTAAGGTAATATCGAGGTAATCCGCACAAGATGCAGTCGTAAACAACAATGGAAAGATTCAAGCAAAAAATATCTGGTTTTATTAGTTTTTCTTCATAACTGCTATGAATGTTGAAAAGAAATTCCTTTATATTTCTTATATACTGACCTAAATAAACATTCCATTCTAATGCTACATTCTACAATTCAATGATTACAAAAATAAAATAAATCGCACCTTATTTCATAAACCGGTGTTTACTTAGACTCAATACCTTTGTAAATAACGAGATGGAGTTTGAAATGAACGGTACTGGTCCCAACTTTTGAAGTGGACATCAACTCTGAGACGTAGGTATATCCAACTGATGAGTCCCAAGTGGGACGAAACACATATCCTGATTTCACTGTCAGACACCATCATCTCATCTCTTATACAAAATATATTTAGTATGTAAGAAAATATATATATATATATATATATATATATATATATATATATATATATATATATATATATACTTAATATCATGAGGAATCCCTATGATGGATTAAACTGCAAAAACGTGCAGACTCATTCGAGGTAAATACCAGTGTCATGCAGGGTTGCTTACTCTCACCCTTTCACTTTCTCCCGGTGATCGACTGGATCATGATGACGTCAATATCTGAGAAGAAGCATGGGATGCAGTGGACAGCCAGGATGCAGATATACGTTCTAGACTTTGTAGATGATGTAACTATTCTATGACAAATTAGCAATAACAAATGTAGGAGTAGACCTGTGTAGCAGCAAACTCAGCAGAATTAGGTCTCAACGTACACAAAGGAAAAAGCAAGATTGTCCGATACAACACAGCATACACTAATCGAGTCACACTTAACGGAGAAGCATTAGAGGATGTAAGAACCTTCACATATCTGTGCAGCATCATTGATGAACACAGCGGATCAGATGTAGATGTTAAGGCGCGGATCAGCAAAGCAAGAAGAGCATATCTGAAACTGAAGAATATCTGGAATTCAAAACAACTGTTTGTCAACCAACACCGAAGTCAGGATTTTCCATAAAAATGTCAAGATAGTTTTACTGTATGAGTTGGAAACTTGAAGAACTGCGTAATCCATCATCCAGAGGATACAAGTTGACCAAACGCTATCGGCGAAAACCAACTACGGGAGAGAGCAAACCAGATTCCAGTGGAGGAAGAAATGTGGAATAAGCGCTGAAAGCGGATAGAACACACATTGAGGAATGCACCCAACTGCATCACAAGGCAATCTCTCACTTGGAATGCTCAAGACCAAAGGAGAAGAGGAACACCAAAGAGCACATTACGTCGAAAAATGGATACAGACATGAGAAGAATAAACAACAATTGGATAGAACTAGAAATGATGGTGTGGGACAGATTTGGTTGGAGAATGCTGGTTGGCGGCTCATGCTCCATTGGAAGTAACAGTTGCAAGTAAGTAAATAAGATACCTTTAACGATAAAATGGGATATTTTAATCTGAACGACGATGATTCGTAAAGTGGTGGTTAGAAGTAGTCGACAGGAAACCCTGAACTTAAGTGTCGCAATATTTGGCATTCGTCAGTAAGGTGTTACACGGGATCAAATCCGTCGGGGAGAATCAGTACCCTGTAAATTACAGGCAAACATTGCCGAATAGTAATAAACCTAGGTGGAGTAGGGTTTCATTTCAATTGCCTCAAACCATTACTTTACATCTCAACATAGTGTACAAGGTGTTGAGTCACCTTGACAAGCGGCCACATTATCATATGATCAATAGAGTTTCATCTACACTAAGAATACCTAACACATATGACATTGGTTACTACTGAGTGATCAATCAATTGTAAACCCTGATCTGGTCTATCAGTTGGAACTGTGAATCTTATTGTTGCTACAAATTATTATAATGGAAATGGAGACAGACATGAGAAAAATGAACAAAAATTTGATAGAAGTGGAAGTGAAGGCCCAGAATAGATTGGACTGGAGAATGCTGTTCGGAGGCCTATGCTCCATTGAGAGTAACAGGCTTAAGTAATTAAGTAAGTAAGTAATAGATGAACACAGAAAACTACCACTTACCATTCGGTATCTCTTTAATTAATTCATATATAATTTGATAATTATCATTCGTTTCATAATTTGTTTTTACTATAATACTGAATAATTGTTGATTTGCTTTAATACCTTTCATTAATATTAAACATATACTTGATTTAGCTTCCATATATACATTATGTAATATAGTTGGATAAATTAGTTGCGATAGTGATAAATGATCATAGTAACTAAATATTGATTTTCTATTCGAATTTTTTTGTAAAATATAATTAAAATAATTACAATTTATATCATTAATAATTAATTTATTTATGATTTGTATATGTGAAATATTCAATAATGAATGTATATTATTAAATGGTTGAATAATTTCAAAATGTATAGTTTGTATTGTTGTTAAGGATGGTAAACCATAATCAGAACATTCAATATGTAAATATAAATCCGTTATTTTATCAGGATCAAATACCTATGATGTAATAATAATAGAAAGAAAAAAAAAAGAGATTTATAGTTTTGTTAAATAAATAATAAATGGAAGCAACATGGACAACCGCTTCGTCCTAGTATGAGATTCTTTAAATGTTTATAAATTGTGACTTGTATGCCCTCTTAATGTATAATGTAACGATACTGCCAATTAGAGAACAGTGAATTATCAACTGGATCAATGACGTCTAAAACCCTTGCGAGTAGTCTAGAGTCTTTAATGGTCCTGCTTTCCGCTTAGTTCAGCCATTTATGTCTAGAACACCGATCTCAGCCTCTGTGATATGAATCAATAATTTAAACCCACTGGGTACATATACCAATCAGGCAGACTACATCGTACAATAAAATAGAAAACAACATTTGTACAATATTTAGCCAAATGTCGTTTTGAATGTGGGAGGTAGTAATTAATAGACAGGATATAATTAAAGAACGGTAAATCGTATAACAATAGTTCATAGGTCATAAAAAAGCTCATAATAAGAAGGATATGAATATGAATAGTTTAATTACATAACAGTTATACAATTAAAAATATACACATAATATTTCTCCTTAAATGAATCCAAAAAGTTACCATTCATTATGCTTATCGGGACCTAATATTAACAATGCACATTCAAGATCCTGCTCGCGAGATTCGAACAGAGGATCTATCAGTCTTGTGCACGATTGCTTAATCTATTATTATCAACTCAATAGTGTACAGATAAAGTGTTTGTGCGCCAGACCGATAGGTCCTGTGTTCGAATCCAGTTGGTGAGAGTGTAGAGGCTGATTTCCTTTAAATCTGATTCCAATGAATAATATCCTATTAACTGAGTATTTCAATCCAGGCTAAATCTTTTAGTAGAATTATGGATTTACTCGAGATTATTCAAAAACTCGAACATCAGTTATAGAGATAATTTATTAATAAAGATAAGTAAAATCCACAAGCATTCAGGAAGCAAGTACACAGAGAAACCAAGTGAGTGTGTGTCAGTGTTAAAAATCTATATATATTTATAAGTGTTAATGGATTGTGGATAAATTTTTGATTGTCTGTATGTTGCAACCAATGAGAGAATAAATTAAAGATTCATGTGCAGACATACGCTCCATAAAACTCACATAGAAATTTACGTAGTGCATTAAGTGACTAAATTACAGTGAGCAGATGAATAATGCAGTAGTTGAATGGGGTTACTACAAAAGATCTTAGATATGCACTTTTGAGGAGTCTCATACTAGGATGAGACAGTCGTCCAGTGTTTCCAGTTTTTTCATGATGATCTAGCTTGAATTCACTCATGAATTCAACTACTAAATTAATTAATTCTCCATAATATCTCTTTCTGATAAATGAAAATGGATTTAATATTAAGGAAACTTTACTATTCTGTTATGTTTTGTGATTGTTAAAGTAAGTTTTGAATTAGGTGTTGAATCTACAAGAATTTTACATATTCGACAACTGATATACAATACACTGCAACTATATATACTTTACAAGATGGATGACACTAATTGGGAGATCGAGGAAAGCATGATAATCAAGTAACTTAGTGTATTATAGCAGTCAACAACTACTTTAGAACACATGACAGATTCGACAAAGTTAATATAGGAACAAACTACCAAATAACAACAATGATCATCATGGAAATATATTATTTCTTATATGTAAAATGAATTAAGATCGTATAATGTCATTACTTCAGGCTGAAGTCTTTTTCAAATTTTCCTGACTTGTGAAGTGGTAAGGAAAGCTGGCATACTCTAACAAATCACAAGTTATCAATAAATGTAGTCTATAAATTGCATAAGCAGGTGACTATCAAGAGTCCGTATCTCAGTGAATAACGTGAGTTCGAGTCTCGGAGTGAATAACAACTTCGAGATGCAGGTACATCCAACCGACCAGTCCCAAATAGGATGAAACATGCGTCCTGTATTCCACTACTAGGCACCATCCATCTTTACTTATAATGTAGTATATAGTATTTACTATGAAAATAGATAAATCAAATCTCAGTAACCTCATTAAATAACATTAAAATCAAGAATGATTTAATTTTTTGGATCTATACCTTGTTAACTAGACGTTAAGGAAGAGTACGTGTTTATTCTGTCTTTTTTTTGAACCACTGATGAGTATCATTTATCTGTATGTACCGTTCTGACTAAATCATCTTCTTCAAATCTCTACGCATGCACTCATATGTAAAAAAAAAATATAAACAAACAGCTTAGAAAACACTTAGAAACTAACAAACAATCAATTTTTCAAAGTTAGACATTTACTATCAATGAAATCAAAGTTATGTATTCTGTCCTATATAGAATTAATCTATCAGATATATCTGCAATCAGTTTTGATATTTATACAGTGACTTAAACATGACATTTATCTTGACAAATACTCAACACACATATTAACTGATCTACCCTGTTGAAGTTTCCAATGCAAATATATACTTAAAATAAATAGTAATATCAAAGTAATTCATTCACTTAGTAACCGTATACTTCCATAGAAATTAATCAATTACGGTTATTAACCATAAATAAGTAACCTAAATATTCAACCAGACCGACTTGTTACATAATAACAATATGAAAATCAGGAAATATAGTTGGTTTGTAATGATATTGTTTTTTGTTAAAGATAGTTACTACTTTGTATAAACTAAACATTAATTATATGAATTAAACAAAAGTATAGTGAGAAAACTATATTTATCTTATTTCCTAAAGTAATCACAAGTTTTAGATTATATATTTATATCCATTGGGAATCAGTTTTAATAAACTGTCATCTATAAATTGATTGGTTGTGTAGTCTTGTAAAAAGAAGAAAAAGAAAAAAATAGAGAAGATCAAAATATGAATTACGGTGAATGTTTCACTACTAACATGATACTGTTTAAGATTAAAATGGTGTATTTAATTCAGATCAAGTAGTTGATAAAAATAACTAAACTCTAGTTTGTAAGTAGGTTTGTGGTGTGGGTTACTTATATCTATATAAGTAGTATAGGATGGTGGTCAGGCATAAAATGTATTTCAGTAGAAAATTGATAAGGAAAGAAGGGAAACGGAACATAATCAATATGAAAATACATGAACAATGAAATCTGAGACAATGGACTGATGATTGTAGAGGAACAGGGAAGCTTGAGACGATGGATTAATAATTTGCAAGTTAACGATTGACTATATTGTTCCCAGATTTGATTGAGATGCTCTGTAATTTCATGTCAAATGTAGTTGATTGTCCCTACTGGTGTTCTTATTTACTACACGTTTTCTACCTTAGCTCGGTTTAATGAGGCTCAGTTAAAACTATATTTTGTATGTATTACTTATGGTAAACAAAGATGGTCTCGAAAAATGTCACAGATAAACTCTAGTGAAACAGATAGATACACATGTAAATGTGTATATTTCATATAACAATTAACATACTAGATGAATGAATTACTGAAAGAAATATATTAATCTAACTATTACTAATGTTGTTCTACATAGTAGAGAGCATCCGAACATTGATTTACATAAACCGGAGAACTTCAACAAAGGAACTTGAATCTTTGTAATACAGCTCATACATACAGTTAATCGTATTCACTTTTCAACTAACTAAAGTGTAACAAATATGACGGAAAATGGATGGTAGCTAATAGTGAAATCAAAGATAAACGCTACTTCGTCCCATTTTAGACAAGCCAGTTGGATATATCTACATTCCATAGTTGATATTCACTCCGGGACTCGAACCCAGTGCCATTTGCTTTAAACGCCACCACATTATCCAGTAAGTTACTGAATTCAAATAGGAACTAGCTTGTGCAATGACTTGATATAACAATATGTAAATAACTAATGCTTACTTATTGTATCTTTATGTAACCCTATGATTGATAATACTACATATATTTGAATTTACCAGTCAATCACATGAAATAAAACAGTTCTAGTCGAAATAAATTAATTGATGACATATTCAAGACTCATTGTTTAGTATGTTGCGTTTTGTAAAGAAAGCAATTGTGAATAAATACAATCTTACAAGCAAGTGTTTGACAGGCATTGAATATGTTAGCTACATTGTTATTCTATTTAGTTGGTTTCAAAAATGATGAAAGATAATAGAAAATCGGTTACTCAATGATGTTTATCAAGTGTAGATGTTTCATTGCTCAAAGAGTATGATCTCAGTTTGAATAGATTTATGGCAAGGTGAATTGCGGTCAGATAATGTGATCCAGTTATTTAAGTCTTTCATGGAGCATCAGTATAGCAACCAAACAAGGTTCAAGCTTACTAATCAATTATCGTTAACTATTCAGTCTTTTGTGAGAATAATATACTTGAGAGATATCGTAACCAATCTTCAACGAGTTTACTTACGAATGTCAAACAACTTAGTAAGTAAATGGTCAGTTTAGAGTTATGGAACAACATCGAACAGATATATATATATATATATATATATATATATATATATATATATATATATATATAGGGTTATCAAACAGGCTATTGAACTCATTATTCATAGTTTGGTCACCAGATAAGTTATGAATAATGTAGTGTTAATCCCCCTCCCCAACTGATTGTGCTTGTGACGTTGTCAACTATTAAAATTGAGATTCACAGTTACTGGTTTCCATGAACTGCAATCACGCCAGTCTTGTTTTCCTTAGATTTTCGATATTTGTCAATAAAGTTCTGTGAGTAGCAATTGTCTCTTAGAAAATTTTCGGCGTTTATCAATTCTGTCGTACATACCCTTTCTGTTGTGTAAAATTAATGTTTTGATCATCTCTTTCTTCTAAGTGATTGGATAAAAACTTTTGAAATTCAGGTAAGGACGGACATTTAACTATTGAACTATTTTACTATATTTTATCATTTTTCCTAGGAAAAAGACCTATTCTATTGATCAGCTGTCTTATCTTCTGACTTCATTTCAACCGGATAGATTAGATGCGAAATCAACATCTCAATGTGGTCTAAAAATATCACTCGGCTATATCTTATCATCATATTATGTTTAAGAGATCCAGGAAATTCCTCGAAAAATGCCTAAAGGTGAGCTGAAAACGCTGTGAAATATCTTTATCCAATCAGCATTGAATAGAAGTATCTCAGTTATCACCATTGAAGACCTGGAAGCGCTGAACGGCTGTTTCGTTCTATTGCTGCGCTCCTTAGCAGTGCTCGTTCGCGGGATTCGAACATAGAGCATTCGTTCTAGCGCGTAAACACTTAACCTCTAAACCACTGGATCCCACAATAGGAAGAAAAAGCCGTCTAATGTTTCAAGTTATTCAATGATGGTCTAACATCAATCAGTTCATGATCTCAATCAAAAACTTATTATTCTCCACAACCCTATAATGATAACTATCTCAAATCCGTGTAGAAAGTCAAGAATCACGTGTCACATTTCCGACTAAATGATTACCTATTCTACTAATATGTTTGAAACTTACATTATTATTATTATTATTATTATTATTATTATTATTATTATTATTATTAGTGGCTTTATTCAATATTATATTTTTGTACAATATAGAATTCTCAGCACAAAGTATTTCAGCAAGTTTCCTTTTTTTATTTCTTGATCAGTTCCTTGCGATAAATATTGAGTGGTCGCCAGTTAGATGTTAGCGGTACAAAAATCGACATCTGATAAATGTATATCCTTTTCGATGCATATTGCCAGTAACCATGATGTCTCTGATTGAGCTCTTTTGTAACATGTACAGCGAATTGTCGTATACTTTTCACAAACTCACCTGAATGCGTTATGAGACTAATAGGCATAATGATGTGTTAAAAGAAACAAGAAATCAGATAACTTGTTGAAATATCCAGATGGTAGGAACAGGTCGCCCATATATTCATGTAGGCCGCCTGTGGTTGTAATTATTTACTTACGATGGTTACTCCTCGTGAAGAAGCACAAGCGACCCACCAGCACTCTCCAACTAACCCTGTACTGAGCAATCCTTTCCAGCTCTTTCCACGTGTTATTAATTTTTTTCATATCTGACTCTATTACCCGATATAATGTGTTCTTTGGCCTTCCTCTATTTTGCTTCCCTTCAAGTTTTCAAGTTAGGGCTTTCCTCGTGACACTGTTTGATGAATTGCATAATATATGTCCCATCCATTTCCATAGTCTTTTCCTAATTTTCTCTTCATCTGAAAGCTGGTTTGTTTTCTCCTACAGTAGGCTGTTACTGATGATGTTGAGTATATGACGTAGACAACTATTTATTAATACTTGTATCTTCTTGATGATGGTTGTAGTAGTTCTGAAAGATTCAGCTGCATACAGTAGAACTGCTTTTGACTTTAATATTGTTTGACAGTTATTTTGAGTTGCATATATTCTTCAATTGTAACAATCCATTATGTTTGAAAGGGTTCAAGAAACATCTACAAATCCAAGATCAATTGAATTACATGAAATACCCTCAAATTTTCTGTTCATAACCATCCCTTGAAGTAAAACATTCTTTCCATATTTCACATCGTTTTTCTCATATTCAAAATTGTCATTTAGAATTATTCTTAAGGTTATTAGAAAAACTTTATGAATCGATTCAATTTTTAAATGTTCTTTAATCAAAAAAAAAATAATAATAATCACCACCTAGTTACTAACCATTTAAACTTACCATATTAGTTCTTAATTGATAATTATTGTGATTTAAAAATGAATCTATATTACTATTATTATTATTATTATTAGTAGTAGTAGTAGTAGTACTAGTAACCGGCCTTCTATCTTGTTTCCTTCCTGTTTTATTTTGTTCTTTTGTTTTTCTTATCATTTTTTCATTTATTAATGAATTGAATTGAATTTTTTTATTTTTTTCATTTATTTTTTTATTTTTTTCTTGATCATTTAATTGATTTAGAAAATAAAATGGCTCCAATAATATAAATTGTTGTTTATTATTTATATTATAATTATAATGAGTAGAATTGTTCTGATCATAATATTTAAATGAATAAATCAATAATTGATTTTTAATATCACAATATACTGTACCATTTTCATTTAAATCTGGATCATTAATAATTAAAAAATTTATTATTGTATTTATTGGTTGATTACCAATCATTTTAGTATGAATAGAATGATTATTTAATTGATTAATAATAGAATTAATATTTATTGATTTATTATAATGATTATCATTAAGAAATTGCCACATTTTATTGATTAATTGATTATTGATTTGAATCATATTATTATTATTATTATTATTATTATTGGATTGAATATTTTGATACCATGGTGATTGTTTAAATTTTGATTTTTCAAATGTATCTGTTTCATCCATTAAATGTATCATTGGAAAATTATCATTAATATCTAATATTTTAATAAGAATAAATAAATTAGAACTACGTTGTGGTATACCTTGATCATATGCTGTAATAATTAAATGATGTAAATCATTAGATAATGGTGATTTTTCACGATCTAATGATTCTTGTACTATTAATTCACCAGTTGTAGAATTAAGTCTAAAAAACTATTAAAAAAAAACAGAAAAGAAAATGGGGGAGGGGAGAGGGTATGAAATTGAAGTGTTTTAATAATCATATGATTATGCAATTAGGAAAAGAAATTGAACTTAGTTATAGTAGATATAAAATTGTCTCTCTTTTTTTTAGTTTTTGAAAGTTTTAAAGCATGACTTATTGTAATTAATTATTTTAACTATAATATATATGACATTCTTAACTATATGTCAAATCAACCGTATTAGAAGTATTCACAAGCCTATAAAATTATATTTCTCAGCAGTGCGGCCTGCTTGAGTATCTGAGCTACCTGTTCCTACCATCTGGATATTTCAACAAGTTATCTGATTTCTTGTTTCTTTTAACACATCATTATGCCTATTAGTCTCATATCCTGTTCAAGTGCGTTTGTGAAAAGTTTACGACAATTCGCTGTACAAGTTACAAAAGAGCTCAATTAGAGACATCATGGTTACTGACAATATGCATCGAAAAGGATATACATTTATCAGATGTCGATTCCTGAACCGCTAACATCTAACTGGAGATCACTCAATATTTATCGCAAGAACTGATCAAGAAACAAGAAAGGGAAAGTTGTTAAAATACTTTGTGCTGAGAATTCTATATTGTACCAAAAATATAATATTGAATAAAGCCACTAATAATAATAACAATAATCCACGACCCCGCCGCCTGCGAGGTCCAAACCCAAGATCTACTGGTTTCGCGCGCAAGCAGTCAACCACTAGACCAATGATCCGGCCCGGTATTCAATGGTAATAATGCCTAACTCCAACTAATACACGAAATCGAGCAACACATTCACTGTTGTCTTCAGTGAGTTACTATCTCAGAACAGACCTTGTTGAACTCCACTGATCACTGGCGGATTTTTCGCTCAATTTGGTGGATTAGTTGAAGTTAGACATTAATACCGTTGGACGCCGGCTTAGTGGTCTACTGGTTAAGTGCTCGTACGCGGACCTAGTAGGTCCTGGGTTCGAATCCCGTAGGGGTAGGTAAACAATAAAAATGTGATCATCATGAAACCATAAAATATTACATAATGAAGTGTTCGCGGGATATAAATTGAATTAAAGTATGTTCAATGTATAACTGGTTTGATGCATGCTCATTGGCTAATTCTTATCCAATCAGAGTTAGTCAATATTTGAAGAATACTCGAGAATTTTCTCATGTCGTAAACTATAAGTATACTAATGAATTTTTTCTCTATTGTGCTTCTTACTTCCATTTAACCTTGTTATTTGAAATAAAGTTTGTTTCCTGTTCAACCATGTTGTGATTTGGGGACTGATCAAGTGAATACTAAACAATAGGAGTAGCTAGATTGTAATAAGAGAGACTTATAACATGAAATAATTGTGTATTTCATATAGTGAGTTTTAGCAAAATTATTTGATTTTATTCTAGACAAATAAGATTATAGATGATTAAAGATGTAAATAGTCTTTGCCAGGGTAAATCAACTATTATCATTAGTTAAACTAGCTGAAATCTATTAATGAATGGTTTTTATAATTCACATCATAAGTTAACTTTAATAGTATAACTATTAATATATCGTGAAGTAATGGGCGACTATTTCATTCTTATATAAAACTTTTAAGTAACATTCATTCATAGATCATCTAAACTTCACAACGATCTATTAACATTGAAACGACTAATACTAATGGTATACATGAGACTTTCTAATCACCATAGATCAAAAATAATGTTAACGACCTTTGAAGTACTTCATAAGTGAGTACTTAACTACTTTCAGTTATAAAGATTATTGATTTTGTAGTTGGTATCACAGACTGCCTTTAGTTAACAAATCAGTGAAAGCATTGTCCAACATTTTCGTTCTCATATGGATTTTATTATTCGTTAACATATAAACTAAAAAAATCAATTTAAGCTGTTTTTCTTTTAAATCTCTCCTACTATTTAATAGTGTTATATCCCAATTAGAATAATGAGTAGTAACTTTTGGCATCCATTTATGAACCAATGATATACGTATATTTTTATCGTACAACTGTTATGTACCTAATCTGTTCATATTCATTTCCTTATTATTATGAGCTTTTCTTTGATCTATGAACTATTATCATACGATTCATCATTCATGAGTTATAACCTGTTTATCACTAAACTATCAAGCTTAGTTTAACACCAACTTGGGACGGTGGAGAAGATTTATAGCTCAAGTGAATGATTTTGATGGAGTTTTGTTCTTTGAGCTGAAGTTTGTGTTGATGATGTCGTTCAGAAGAACGATAAAATCTCCATGACGAAATCATCCCACTCATAAAACCGAATTCCATCAAAATTAGCACCGACATATCCAACAAGCATGATATTCATTATATGAAAGTGACATCTATCTATTTAATGTCTCAGAATGAACATCATGGGGACAGATACATTCAATTGTTAAGTTTGTTATACAATACATTCCCTTTCTTGATTAACATCAGTAGTTGAGATGGTAGTTTGTTTTATCAATCTTATCTAGTTTGCTCTTTTTTTTTTAGAAAAAAACAGACATCATTTTGTCTCCAACTATGGCGCCATTTTAATAAATAGATTGTTATAAATCATACTATAAACATTCGTTGACAACCGAGAGAAGTTATTCACATCGACAAATCAAACTGATAACAATTTGATAATAAAATGGTGACAATGTTTTATAAATGATAGTGACATATTAGTGACCGGTTGATTTTACTCCATTTAGACCATTTGTCACTTATTATCAAAATATACATGTCACCGATCCTTGTATATAATCTTCGACTTGAATCGTGTTAGTGAATAACGCAATTCAATAAGTCAAATACACGGATAGATTTTGGTCACGTATAGTTCATACAATCATTGATTCAAACATACTATTAGATAGACGGAGTGAAGAAATTGAACGAAAACGAGTTGGAGAAGCCAAGTAAGCTAACTCGTTTTAATTAAGCGTTATTTGATACTTATAGTCAGAAAACACTAAGTTAGACATATACTGAGTAAGATAAGATTTATATATACACACACATATACGCTTACATAAAACAGCCAAATTTTATAAGGTATAAATGGGACTCAAGAAGGATGACTAAACTGGCCTGTCCAGAAGCTGGAAAAATCTATGTGTGTTTGACATAGCAACCGACACTACAGATTCTTATGGACGAATGAGGGAAATGAAGAAAAGTAAAAATAACTTGACAATGTAATTACTTAGTGATAAGTGGTGAACATGTTATCAATTCATAATACTCATAAATCTTTATGATTCAATAAATGATGTAACTTTAATCAGAAGAATAGAATTCAACAAATCACTATTATGTAATCAATAGGTTCATGAATAATATTTCATTCTTAATAAATGATTTGATCAATAATTTAGTGTATAAATCAATAATCAATCATTGTTTTTATTTATTTTATTTTAACACATAAGTATAGGTACAGGGAGGCACCAAATACATATGCGCCACACGAATCTCAATTGATTTGTGTGAGGGCTGTGATACTGCCCGGGTTCCCAAACCGAAGCAGGTGGTTTTCTTAGGGGGCCACACCCCGAGCCTTTGACCTGAAGATCTGATCCACAAGGCAGTGGAGCATCGTGAGGATATGCAGTCCCATGGTAGCCGGTGACCAACGATTGGTTCATACGCCATTTGTTCCTTCAGGATACTGGAGCCCATGTGCACCATTGGTTTGGGATCCGGTTAAAGCGCCAGACATTCACTTTTCGTCCTCTCATTTTCGTAAACAACACCCGTAGTGCGAGAAGGCAGTGAGTAGGACTTCCCTGGCAGGGGCTATATACGCATGGCCATGTGAGAGCATTTCGAGAGGGAGAGCGGACTCTCCCCACTCTCGGCCGTACCAGGGCATTTGGGGGCATTGTAATATTCACTAATGATTTTGAATAGAATAAAACAATGATTTAGAAGTGAGTATATATATTTACTGTACTGCTCATTGTTATGTTGAAATGTTCATCATTTCATTAATTATTGATCTGTTGATTTAGTTCTTTAGTCATATATAACATAGAACAAATCATTTATATGTCCATTGGTTCAATTAACCTCTAAATCCCTTGGTACAATCGAAAATGACAAAATTCCTTTCACTCTCTTTAAATGTTCTTACATGGCCACCTGCATATAACCACTGATAAGGAAGTTCTACTCATTGACTTCACTTGTTGAGGGTAATGTTTACGAAATTGAAAGGATAAAAAAAAGAATGTCTGACAATTTAATCGAACTGTTGGTTACAATGGAACCATCTAGAGAAGTTGATAAACACTGATATCAAACCAATACTCAACATAAACTCCAATATCCTGAAGGAATATCTATCATGAAATCATATTTTGTAATAATTACAAATATATTCAAGATAATCTTTATTTCAATGTAATAAACCATAGAACAATTAATTCTATATATTATTTTCTTTTTCTTTTTATTTATTCATCACAATAGATTCATAGAAGAAGAAGTAAAAGATAACGATAAAGAAGAAAAAAGAAAAAAAGAAAAATCAAAAAGAAAAAAATTTGTAAAGTAAAGCAATAAATAAACCGATAATAATAAAAAAATAATCTCAAGGTGAACGTAATAAATATGACCTTGACTAGTTGACTATTTTTATATTGAATAGTTCAAATTTTATTACGAATGTGTTTGTTTTCTATAAAAAATTTTTTTCTTTTATTTTTCTTTTTTTTCCTTTTTCTTGTTGTTGTTGTTGTTGTTGTTGTTGTTGTGTTTTATTGAATATCAGGAATAATAATAAGAATAATAATGATCATAATGATCATAATAATAGACAATAGTAAGTTAATGTATAGAGAGAGATATAGACATTGGATATGAGTATTATGATAATATTAAGGTTTAACTAAAGAGGATAATGTCGTTATTATTATTATTATTATATGATTGACCTAAAAATATAAATATTTATATTGACG